AGAGGCGGCTCCCAGCCTGGAGGCGCTCTTGAGTGAGGCCTTGCAGAGAAGGTAGACAGAATGCAGCAATTAAACTGCGGAGCCGGACGGGGACCGCCGTCCTGGCCTCACACACGCCCAGCCTTTGTCCCAGCCGGAGCTGAGTCCTCCACGGCCGCTCTAGTGGCGCACCAGGCCCTACAGTGACACATAGGCCCGTCTGTGTACATAGCCTGCCACCTTCCTGGCAGCCTCGAGAGACCATGAATTCACGCAGTACCCCAGAGCACATGCTCTCTCGCGGCAGTCCTCGCGCCCAGGCACACCGTGCACGCCTAGGGCTCTGCACATTGTCTCTGCCACCCACGGGTGCACATCAGCTGCAGATGTGGCACAGCAGGGCCTCTGCCATCCCTGCGCTCAGGCCAGCAGAGAGACCTCACACAGCCAGGGCAGAGAAATTCTGAAGGTATGCAGATGCAAGATTCTACACATGACCTCACTGTCGCAGTTACACACACGCGCAAAGGGTTTGTGCTTTTTTGCAATTTCCCACAGTTGCATTTATGGCACAAGCTTCCCCTAATTCATCCCTCCATCTGGGGCACAGTTACACTCTGTGTAGTATCAGCTCTTCAGGGGGCTAATGTAGGAGGATCACTGAGTCCAAGAATTTGACTAGACACCAGCTTGGCCAGCACAGAGACCCAGTGTCAAAAAACAAACAAGCCAGGTGCAGTGGCAGCTGCCTATAATCCCAGCACTCTGGAAGGCTGAGACAGGAGGATTGCAAATGGAACCCAAGCCTGGGCAATTTAGTGACTTACTGAGACCCTGTCTCAAAATAAAAAAATGAAAATGGTCTAGAGATGTAGCCTTTTTCACTGTGAAGGCCCTGGGTTCAATCCCCAGTATGCAAAAGAAAAAAAAAATGGAATATTACTATATAGGCTGTTGTGCTCAGAAATGAATGTTCTCGGGCCTGGGATGTCTCTCAGTGCTGCCACATCTGGCAAGCACAAGGTCCTGAGTTCAATCACTGGTACCAGAAAAAAAAAAAAAAAAAAAAAAGTTTACACATTGGTGAACATACACC